ATATTTGTCACCTTTCTGCTCAGTCGAAAAAGCTGGAAAAACTGAATAATAAATGCTTTTAAAAAATATTAAAAAGGCAGCAAAAAATGCCCATAGGTGTCATGAAAAAAAAGCCCTTAGCATCAAAATTTTCAAGCTGATCATGTAATTTTGAGGATCTGACTCAGATTTTGTTCTGCTTGTGGGGTGGATGATGTCTGCATTTCACAGACACATTCCAAGAACTGACTAACACTTATAATTGGGCTTAGGGGTGAAAAATAAATAAGAACTAAGGGGTTCTTTGGTAGAAACCAGCAAAACTCAACTTTGCTTAATTTCCAAAGTTAGGAACAGATAATGAAAGATTCAATGAAATTTTCATAGGCAAACTTCAAACCCTGCAAAAGCAAAATCTTGACCCAAGCTGAGTTGGTGCCAAAATTCCCACTGGCTTGACTGAGGCCAGATTCTGATCAATTCCTGTATTGAAGAGTGAAACAGAGAGATATACAAATAGAATAAAATTTTACTTCTTCTGCCAAATCATCTGCTGAGACAATTTCTCCACCAGTTGTTAAATTTACCACTGTGTAAAAAAGGTTCCCTGGGTGTAAAACCTGAGACAACATAACTGAGACTTGTGTGCTCCAAGTGAAACGGAGCATACCCTGCCCTTCACCTCTCAGTGTTTATTACGTTGTCAAACTAATGATCTCTAATTTCATAAAAAAAACAATAATAATTGCCCCCAACACCAAGCTACAGTAATTTTTTCCTCTTGCCCTCTTCTATTTCTCAAGATACTGGAAAGATATATTAAGATAATACAGCATGCAAATTAAATTCTACAAAAGCCCAGCCAAAAGGCTGCTTTAAAAAGCAGCGGTATGCAAAGGCGAGGACAACTCTGTCCTCTCAGCCTCCCCCAGTCTCACCCTGAGAATTTAAACCAAACCCAAATTCTTTTTTTGGCCGTGACTTAAAGGGAAGATTTATTTTTTTGTTTTGCCAAGCAAAACCAAAAGTTTCCATCCCAGTAATTTCATTATTTCTTCTCTCCAAACACAGGCAGGTTAATGATCAGACAAGAAATCTCATTTAATCACGTAAGAAAAGTCAAGTGGTGGGTTTGAATTGCGAGATACTGATTTGGACACCCTAAATTTGTTTTCAGTCCAGTATCCAACTTCCAGCTCAATGCAACACACAACATTTACGTCTTTAAAAAAAAATTGTATTTTTAGTATTGCCAAAACACACATGCACTTTTACTTTCTTGGGAGAAAAATGTATCTCTTGATTTGTTTCCAATCTGTGTGCTCTTGCCAGCAACTAAAATGCTTGAAGAACCAAAATGAATAATCGGTAAGAGCATCGGCAATTAAAGCTGCAAATTTTAATCAATATATCTATTAATACAGATATATTTATCTTGGCCAGTAAAAATGTGCACATTTTCAAAATCTTAAACATACCTGGTCTGTTAAATTATTTGTTTCACAGATTCAAGGAAATCCAATGTCTGTGGCAAATATATTATCAAACAGCCTTTAGTCTTTTTTTCACTTCCAGTAATTTTTGTGGGACTGGTATTTTTTATGTTCTTTCCCCAACTGCTGGTTATTAAATCCATTTCATAACTTTCAATTTTCTTTTGTTTGTGTCATCAGGCTGCGAAACCGGAGGTCACTGCCAAATCTAAACCACGGCAGTGTGCGATAGGCTCAAAATGTGAGTCATCATGTATGTGGAGATTTGGGGTTTTTCAGCTATCAGCAGAGCACATCTCCAGTCCTGTGTCCAAGTTCTTACACACTGAGTATCTCACAATTTGTTAAAAGCAGATCTTCAGGTAGAGTTGCCAAGATCAAGAGACTCCCAACAGGATTGCAAGAGCACACTGTCATTTGAACACTACTGAAGACACCATGTCCCAGGGTGGCCACTGGCCACAGGATACTGTTTAAGTACCTTGGCTATTTAATCAGGAAATAAAGAAGGAATAAAGGAAATTATCCATGAGATGATAACAGATTAGCTACACAGTATATACCAGATTAATCTTCTCCATCTGTTTGTGGTGGTGGGGTTCAGAGGGTGCACTTCCAGCCCCAGTACTGGCCCCTCCTCCTGGGGCAGGCAAGACCACGGAGCATTTCAGTGGGAGAAGCAGCAGCCCAGGCAGACAGCATCCCTCCCTGCTCCATGCAAAGCTCCCCAGCACTCGTGCTGGGCGCTGCTCACCAGTGCCCTCGTCAAGCACAGCAGGGATGAGCAACGCCTGTGGTGTTCTTGTTATACATCAGGCCTGTTTGTCACAAAAAAACCAAGGTGACTGCTAACTGCTGTGGCTATTGAATGAGACATCTATCTTTGTAAGCAAAGCCCAAAGATAACTTGTTCATTATTTAAACAAACTTATGAAAAATGGGCACATTCCCCCCACCCTTGGTATTTATTCTATGTACTGCCTATAGGTATCGCCTCGTCAGCATGGCCCCATCTGACTTGATGGGGTGTGGGTGCTTGTGTGAGCGCAGTTTTACTGAAAAATTCTACCCCTAGCACCACCATTTCCTTTCAGCAACAGATTTTCATTACAGGGATGCACTTGGGGGTGTTACATCCAAGAGGACTTCCAGTATATTTCAGACCGCAAAAGCACCAGGAGTGAGAAGGGGGAAAAAAAAAAAAAAAGAATGGGCAGTCATTTGAATCAGTGAGTGACAGGCTGGGCCAGCTCTCTGTATACATTAATAAATTAGAATTTTAATTGTGTCTCTGACTGCAGGAGCTGCTCCAGTACTTTAATACGTACCAACAATTGGCTATGTTATGGAATCCACGATGTGGCCTTCACTGTTGACCTCTGCAACACAATTCCCAGTCTGACTACGGAAACTGTTTGGTTTGATCCTTTCAACTTATTTGAATCCTGACAAATAAGCTCACAGCTGAAAGGTCAACACAGTCATATTTCATCCTCTGGAGCTATTCTTAAGACATCTGCACAACAAAGCACTTCTTTTAGTACCTGACACTGGACCTAGCCAGCACAATCTCTCATTAAAAATGTCCCCAGTGGAAGAGTCTATTAAAAGGCATATGGATCAGCTACGGATTTACCAAATAAAATATTTTTGAAAGCATTAATGTAACGCTTTGGATTATGGCTCTTGACGCTGCCAATAAAACGTATATTTGCCCAATGACAAAATGCTTCATACTTTCCAAAAGAATAACAGCCCGGCTGTAAAGCACGAGGTGTTGTCCAGCAGCCGGAGCACAGGGGTGGGAGCCAGGAACTCATGAATCTTAATCCTACCTCTAAACCCAATTCCCTCCCTGATCCTAAGTGAGTTGCTTAACCCGCATCCCTCAGTTTCCCAGTCCAGAACTGGGATAATGCTACTTACTTATCAGACTTTCCTTCTGGGGATGTTTTGGAGATTAGTGTTTGCAGAATGCTTTGAAGATGAAATCACTAACCAAAGCTCAATGTTGTCCACGCTGGGCCAAGGGCTGCAGTTAACAGCTATTCCTCACTCAGGCAAAACTCCCCTTCAAGTCTCCATCAGCTTTATTTGGGTAAGAACCACAGAATCAGGCCCTCTCACTTTACTGTCAAGGCCTCTAGCAATGTTGGCTTTACCTTCCATATTCTACTACATATTTAAAGAGCCTAGCATCCGTATTTTTGCAGGAAAATAATCTGAAGCACATATAAAAGGCAAGAGAAGCAGCAATGCTGTCAGGGAGCTCATGGTGATAGTATATCAAACTAAAAAAAAAAAAAAAAAAAAGTAGAAAGAGCAAAACAGACATGAGTTTGACAACGTGCTATGACAACAAGAGGAAAAAAAATCCGGAAAGAATTTGGGGCTACAGAGGCTGAAGCATCAGATATAGAAAAGCGAGATAAGATAAATGTCCCAGCTAAAGGGCTTTGTGCAACTGCAGCTGAACTGCTGGATTCAGGACCTTATTATCAAAAATCCACTGACATGCTGCAATTGCAGAGAGCAGTAATAAAAGCAATAACCAGCTGCAAACCAGCAAAGTGGTCAAGGGTCTGGAAGTGCTAGTTTATGAAATACATAAAGAACTAGATACATATAATTTGCCGAAACTGGCAAGTACATGTTAGTATCTCAGATGTTTGAGGAGTGTGAACACGAGGCAAGGCAAGGGACTGACTCAGTATTTATACAAGCAGTATTACTTGGAGCAAGAGGATGGAATTAAAGTGGAAAGTTCCTGAGCATGTGCTTTGTTATGGAAAACTATCTGAAGGAAAATAATAGCAGTCCCACCATCACTTGGGATTTCTAACACTAGAATAGCAAAAGAAAAAAAAAAAAGAAAAAAAGAAAAAAAAAAAAAAGAAGGAACTGTGATACATGACCTAATAGGTCTTTCCTGTCTTTAACTCCCCGTGATTTATCCCACAAGACTAGCAGAATGTACTCCAAAGCCCCATATGTGTGCATACATCTTCTGTTTGGGAATGCTGTATTGGTTTTAGCTCTCTGAATTCATAACAGCACAAAGCCCTCTAATATTTAGATTTTATTTCTGAAGATGTCCATAAATCAGCAGACAATAAAAGGGGGAAAAACACACCGATGATATGATATCCTAGTATTTCCCAATATCCTTGACACAGCAAATCAACGGTTTGAGTGAACACAGACTACAAATGGAACAGCAATCAAACAGAAATGTTAATGCAAATCTCCTATGCACACTGACACAGTAACAAAAGCTATTCCATTTTGTCAGGATCCAACCCTACCAGACGCTAATAAAAGTACACGCTCACGATTTGTAAATACGCCGTAGGTGGGACTTTGAAGAGCACCCAGCATCAATCCTGCTGCCATTTACACCAGCCACAGCCACTCTGTGGACACAGGGAGGAAACTCCTGAAGGTTCCATCCCAGTGTCTGCACAAAGATGCATTTATTCAGCTTTTACAAGCCCCAGACCCTCACAGAGGCTCACAGGCTCCCCTTACCTGAAGGGCTGGCTGCTTGTCATTCCTCTTCGGAGACTTTAATCCACTAACTTGTTGCTGCTGCTGCTGCTGCTGTTGCTGCTGCTGCTGCTGCTGCAGGAGAAGCTGTCGTGCCACCTGAAGAGCCTGCAGGGAGAAAGAGGTTGGAGAATTGAGTTCTGAGTCAAGAGGGCATGGGGAGCTACACAAACAGCACAGGGGCAAGGCAATCCCTGATCATGGGGTACCACTCCACTCCTGATGCACCTCCACTGAGTAAAGCAGTGGCTTCCACAAAAATAACACCTTCCATGCAATGGGGTGATATCCCACCACTGATTTCCCATTTTGACTAAGGAGAAAAACAGCAGCAGCTGATGTTTGCCTCCTGGGTGGGAGCCTCAGGTAACTGCAGGAATGCTGGTGGTGAGCTCCACAGAGGTGTTTTTGTCTCCCTGAAGCAGCTCACAGCCCTCCTCACTAATGGGCAGGCTCCTGTGCTTTCAGCTTTCAGATGCCCCCTCTCCAGTGGATCAGGTTGGGTTTACAGAAGAGGGCAGTCATATATCACTGTCTGCTCCCCTGAGCACCCGAGAACATCACGGAAGCTTCTGGAAGGCCATGGTGGGAGACAGAGGAGAGGCAGCAGCAGGCAGAGCCATGCTTGAAGGCTGAGAAAGCTGGAAGGAGCTGGAGAAAATAAAAGGAAAAGAAGGGACAGCATTTCACCTCACCAAAATCCAGGAACTGGACTTTGATGATACTTGTGGGTCCCTTCCAGCTCAGGATATTCTATGATCCTATGAAAATCACTGTCAGTTCATGATGGACCAGCTGTGGAGACTCACTGGAAGGGGGCAAAGCAGTAAAGGGACAGTGTGATAGTGGAGGGGCAAGGGATATGACCCTGAAAGCATGAGCAAGCAGGATGTGGGGGAATCATTGCAAAATGTCATCCCAAGCAGGGGAGAAGAGTCCCTCAACCCTGGAGCCTGCTCCTCTGCAAGGTCTGATTTCTCCATCAGGTGGGGAAAACAAAGCAAGAGGAGATGAAAGAGGAAAAGATGAGGAGCAAGTTCCAGCCCTGGGTCTCTCCTGACTCCCTGGCCAGCAGACAGCAAGGAGGATCCCTGCAAGACAGAGAGTGGCACAGCTGAGGCTCTGCTAGCGAGACCCCAGCCTGCTGCTCCCCGAGGATTCACCAGCACCGGACCCGGCCTCCTTGGTCTCCTTGGAGACGTTCAGTACATGTGTAGGTGGAAAAGTGGGAAGGCTGAAGACTTCATTAATGTAAAACAAGAAAAATAGTCCCTTTGCAAGATGCCTACATGGAAGAAGGGAAAAAGCCTTCCCTACTCCTACTGTGTATGTTCTCTGAGTGATTTAATTAATACCTATTTAATTAAGAAGTCAGATATGCTTCAGGTTTCACTTGCTCCTTCAAGTTGCAGTGTTTAATCTCAGCACAGAACTGCTGGGAAAGGTTTGATATCAAAATCTGCAAACTTGAACCCAACTCCCCCACCCCAGTAAAATCATGTTATTTTAATTGCCTAGACCCATCTTTTTACTATTGGAGAGACATTGGTCAGCTCAGTGGACTGAAGAACCACCACTGCTGACCAGGGCAAGTGGGCAGGAGAGACCTTATAATGTTCTGGCAACAAGCCCTCCTTTCCAATTTAATAACAAGTCTCCACTGGATCAGAAAAACTCTCTAAGGGTGGATGCAATTTCCAGCAGAACTTGGCATGGTGCAGGTAAATTAGATTTTGCATTTCAAGCTGGTTGCAGCTTAGTGCACCCATAACATCTCTGAATTGGTCCATGTCCCTGCAATGGGTGCAAGGAGCTACTGGGCATGGATCTGGGCTCACACACACACAGCCACCACCCCCTTGATGGTACACCATCAAGAACCCGGAAACCCTACCACAGAATTTAATGCAACAAAAGAAACCTTTATGCAGAAAATGCTAAGAACAGTTAAAAATTACCTTATTTTTATTGAATTAACTTATTTAGCTGTTAAAGCATCTTCAAGGGTGGGCAAAGGCAGCAGAAATAAAATCTACAAGACCTGAGGGGATAGGCAACAAATACTCACTTATTTAACAGGAGTGTTGTATGGCTTATTTAATTAATGAATACTTGTAAAGCACTCTGAGTTGCTCAGACAAGAAGCTCTATACAGTACAAGCGCAACATATTATTATATATTATTAAGACTGGCTCTGGAGAAGAATAATTCCAGGTAAATGTGCAATCAAATGATCATTTTAGTTCCCAGTAATTAGATTCAATAGGCCAAAAAAAACCCATGGAAGCCTTTCTTTAATCATACACTAAACAATCAGAACATCCCTAACCTTTCAAGCTACAGCCTTTTTGAATAAAACATCATCAACTTATAGATATTATTCCAAAAAGAACCAGTCACCATATGTGTTGTCTCTTTGAAATACAGTTGCTATAGCAGACCCTGCATGCATTTCATGTGATATGATCATATTCTATCCGTTCTGGCAGCTGAGAGGTTGCACAATTAAACTGGCTGCCAGAAATTTTTGAAGATTCCCAGAACAAGTAGCCATGCAAGAAATGCCTGCTCTCAACTCCAGCTGGCCAGGAAGCTCCATGCAGCTTGGTGGGGTGGCCACTGCCACCATAAACCCTTACCATGACTGACCCCACACCAGTGAGGGTCTCTGCCTGTGGGGACAGGCTGGACTGGCAGAGCTCTGCTGGAGTAAAGCCAGAGCTCTGTCCCTGCTCCTGTCCAGCTGCACAGCACCCACATCCCTCACATTCAAGATGACATCTACACTACCCCATTCCATGTCTAGGTGTCACCTACGCTGGTGCAAACCTGGTGGGACCAGAGATGGCAAGAGGAAGGGACCAGCACAGAGGGTGGAGCAGGGCAGGAGGGAAAGGATTAGAAAGAAATGAAGTGGGCTAGAGGGAGCATCAGGGGATACAAGCAGCCAGGATGGACAGGAACATCAAAGGGGAAAAAACAAGGTAGATGCAAGTGAGATGGCAACATGCTGGCATTCCAGGGATTGCAGCTTTAAATGGCATTTCCCATTTCTCCACTCAAGATTTTGTTTTTTCACTTACAAATAACTGACAGCAATAAAAGCTGAGCATCAGATGAGCTCGGGTTTAAGATGTGGAAGGTTGTGTATAGCTCAGATAGGCTTCTCACTGAGCATCTGCATCAAGGAGCTACCATGTCCTTGGTGGTACAGCGAACGCAGGGATCCCACATCCCTCTGCCTTTCTACTTCTCCCTGCTCAGCCTTTCCTCCCTCCCTTCCTCCCTCAGACCAAGTGCTGTCCTTGCCACTTCCAAGCCTCATCCATACTCCTCACACATGACAGAACACGTACAAGAAAGATGGCTGGCTTGGGATACACTGACCCTCCTTCCTCTCGCACACAAAATACTTCAAAAGCCCATTTGGAGTTTGCCCTCTTGGAATTACTTTGCTGATATCAGTTCACGCCTGGTGGACACCCGTAGACCCCAAACCAACCCGCATCACACCTCTACCCCCTTCCCTGGTTCCAGGCAGTGCCACTCCTGCACAGAGCTCATCCCTGGATGCCGGCGTGGGAGCCCTGCTGAGGCTGCCGGTGCTGCACAGTGCTCAGGCGAGGACAGACAGGGAAATTAATTTGAGTGAAGTCAGTCCCACAACCTTCATCAGCACGGAGATTCGCAAGCAGGCCTGTACATTAATAAAGCTTCCTGTGGGAGTAGATGTTGCCTTTGATTTGCATGTGAATTCAATGCTAGTGAGAAGTGCCAGACTGTCAGACATGGAGACCAAAGTCTCTTATCTTTCCAAAAGCTTCTGTAGCAGTTTCCCCACATTTCCTTAATCATCTGCCTTGTCCTCAACTTACTGAACAGGCAGTAGAGAGTAAAGCTGGATTCGGTTCAACTCCTGCTGCTGCCAAGTCCTGAAACAAGGGTGCCACGACTGTTTACTGCTAGCCAACAGCTCTGCTAACGTGGCCCTCTCCTCACAAGCAGGTGCTCTGACATCTCTAAGCTCTTTTCACACATTCCTCCCCAGTGCCGTAGTTACATCCTAAATCTCCACCACGTGCTTGCAAGTGAACAATTGCCAGGGGCCGTGAAAAACCAGCTCATGTTTGTGCACCCAGACAAGAGCATGCTCCATTAAGGTGGAGATGCCAAAAGCCCCCCAAAACACAGAGGTGCTTCAAATACCTGGCTCTGTATTTACCAGCAGTCACATTTTCTGAACTGCTCAAAGAGCCTGTAAGCCTGGTCAGAGCTTCTTGGGACACCCAGAGACCCAGACAGCAATTCTGGACTTCAGCAGTGAATCACAGAGCAGCAGTAACCATCCTCCTCTCTGCACCAAAACACAAAGGGGAAATCCTTCCACTTACTGAGAAAAAAAGAGAAAGGAAAGCATCCTCCAGAAAACTACTATTCCATGGGTTTTGGTCACTATAAACATGGGTTTGAAAGGACAACATCAAGAAAAAGCCGCCTACCAACCAAATCATCCTATGCCCAAATGCAAGGTACAGTAAATGAACTCCCAAGGTGTTTTCTTACCCATTAGGAAATCACCCAGACATAAAGAGATTTTCTGGTGTAAAACAGAGACCAGTAAAAAGGCAAATGAAATACAGCGCTTGAGAGACATTGCACAAACTTGGAATGGTATTTGAGAGTCAACACTGGGTGACACCTAACCCAGGAAAAATGTTAACAGTACATTAACTGTGAGATGAATCAAGCCTGTTTCATTCACGGCGTAAGTGGGAAGCCCCACTGAAAAGCCCTCTCCCGTGCTTAGGGAAGTGGCAACCATTTATTATTTCCCAACCACTTAAAACACCAGGAGGGGAAAAAAAAGTACGCATTTGAGATGACCAAGACAATTTTATTGCAAGACAGACAGAACGTGACTTGTTTGCCCAGCTGTTGTTTGCCCAGAACACTGGGCACTGTTATCACCCCAGTTACTGTTGTAATTCAACATTTCCATGCAAGCACCTTGACCTTTCAGTTTCACCATCCTCTTCGGCCAAGCTCTGACGAAGGGTAAAAATGCAGCCCTGCCTCTCACTTCATGTGGCCAGAAACTCCTGATTTG